TTCCCCCGCAGGCGTCCATCACCACGCGCAAGGGCGGCAAGCGGCTGGCGATCTGGGACCTGCACGTCACATTCGAATGGAGCGCCACGCCAGAGGGGGCGGACGCCAAGCCAGTGAGCGCCGCCCGCGGCCGCCGACCGCAGCAGCGCCTTGCAGCCGCCCTCGCCCCTCCCTGCTACCCCCCTCCGCCCAGCGACCACGAGGCGCACCGTGGGGCTCGAATGAAATACCGAGAGCCAGGCGAGCACCCACCCAGGTGCAGCTGCGCCAAAAAACTCTGCACGCCCCGATGCGGCCCGCGCCTGTTGCGCACCAACACCACCGCCCCGCCAAACCAGGTCACCGGGTCGATCGAGGTGCGTGAGTTTGCGTCGGCGCACGACGAGGAGGACTTTCTGTTCGACTTCACGGCGGACGGCGGCGGCGCGGACGGGGCCACATTCAAGGCGGTGGCGGCCAGCTTGAAGCCCCAGATCCTGGCGGCGCTCGCTGTGTTTGGGGAGCGGATACACGCGCTTGAAAAGTAGCATTCGGTGGCAATTCTCGTGGTTGATGCATGTAGGCAGGACGGTCTTCTTCAATGCTTGGCCGCCGCGCGCGTGCAGGCCTCCTAGAGGCCGCAGCAGCGCCGCGCTCCCTCAACCCACCTGCTCCCCTGTCATGAGTGATGAGCGCAAAGCGCCGGCGCTCCATTGCAGCGCCCCTTCCGGGTGATAAGGCCCCCCTGTGATTTGGACCTCAAATGTATTTTCATCCTGTTTTTACTGGCGACGCCAGCCACGCGTCCCCCGCCCCTCCATCGCGCTGCGGCCCCGCCCGCTTGCTGCCCCCTGTGCCGGCTGCTTGTGCATCCTGCACCGAGGCTCTGAGCGACGCAACGGGTAACAGGCTCAAACACCCGTGTGAGGGCTGTAGGGTGCCAGTTGGCAGCGAGGACGACGCGCGGCGAAGACTCTGTATATGCGGTTGCGTGCCCGGCGCCACGCCGCACCATGCCGTTCAAAGCGGAAGCGGCCCAGCCACAGCGCCCTCACTCTGGACCCGCCGGAGTGAGTGCCACCTCCAGGCGCGCCTGCGGCTCATCTACATTTCATGTTACACACAGTTCAAAGCTGAAGAGGAGCTGTCGCAGTAAAGACGGCCTCAAAACACCAAAAACCTTTTGCGGCGCTCGATCCCTCGATCGCAGCCGCGCCCACGGCCCCAAGTGGGTCTGTAAAAACGTGTGCAGGCTGCCGCCATATCCACAAAAGTCCCGGGGCACAGCCATCGCGTTGTTCGTTGCGAAACAGCTTTCAAACCTCCATTAAGCAAGGCGCGCGAGCGCCGAGCTCCCGCCCGCAAAGCGCCGGCGCCCGGGAGGCGGCGCGCCGTCGATTTGCATCGCTCTGTGAGGGCCCTTGTGCCGTGGGTCCCCCTCTCCTTGTCCACTGCCGCGCACCCCTACTCGTTCCCGCGCACCCCTACTCTTTCCTGGTTGAAGCCCGGCCAGGCCCTCAACGCCGCGCTCTCCCGGCCTCTCAGTAGCGGGGGCGCTTGTCTTGGCCGCCGTAGGCGGTGCCGCCGCCGTAGGCAGCTGCCCCATACCCCTGGATAGGCAGGCAGTTTTGGGGGGCACGTGGGTGGAATTTCAGATGTGGAACCCGCTGCGACAACTAAACAGTTCAACGCTCTGTGCCAGGAGTGCATGCCCACGCCTGCCCCAACCCCTCAAGCTTCAAGCAATGACAGTTGAAAGAGCGGCTCGCGGCGCGGCAGCCCGTTTGTCCCCGGGCAACCGCAAGGGGCGCCCACCGCTGCGTCGCCGTCGCGCTTCTGCCCCACGGTCGATGCCGCCGAGTAGCTCGGCACGAACTTGGGCGCCGCGGCGCCGCCGGGCGCCGCGGCCGGGGCCGCCGGCTGTGCATACCCATAGGTCGCCTGCGTTGCCGCTGCCGGCTGCGCGGCAGCTGCGTACCCGGCAGTCGAATAGGCGCCCTGCTGCTGGCCGTACGCCTGCCCATAGCCGGCGGCAGCCTGCTGCCCGTAGCCCGCGGCGGCCGTCGCCTGCTGGCCGTACGCAGGCGCGGCGGCGGCGGCGGCCGGCTGGCCGTAGGCTGCGGCTGCGGCCGGCTGGCCGTAGCCCTGCTGGGAGTACGAAGCGGTGGTCGCCTGCTGGCCGTAGGAAGCCGCCGCCTGCTGACCGTAACCGGCCTGCTGGTGCGGTGAGTTGAGGTGGGCGAGCCGATTGTGGGGTCAGCGCGAGCCCTGCAGGCGTGACAGGTTGAAGGGAGCAGGGGCGGGGCGCAGCGGCAGCAAGCCATGTGCGTGTGTGCAAGCACTCACCGCTGAGGTCTGCTGCTGCGTGCCGTACGTTGCAGGCTGCGCCGTCGCAGCGGACCCGTACTGCGCGCCATACCCGCCCGCGGCCGCGCCGCCGCTCGCGGCCGCGCCCTGCGCCGCGGCGGCGCCGTACTGCCCCGCTTGCGCGGCCGCCGCGCCGTACCCCTGCTGCTGGGCGCCGTAGCTTCCATACCCGGCCTGCTGCTGCTGCCCTTGCGCCGCGGCCGCGCTTCCGTAAGCCTGCTGCTGCGTCGCCGCGGCCCCATAGCCGCCCGCCGACGTTCCATAGCCGCCCGCGGCGCCGTACGCCCCATAGCCCTGCTGCTGCGCCGCGGCAGCGCCGCCCGCTGCGGCGGCCCCCGACGCATCGTAGCCCTGCTGGGCGCCATAGCCCCCGGCCGCGCTGTACCCCTGCTGCGCGCCATACCCGGCCGCCGCGCCGCCGGCAGCGCCGCCGCCGTAGCCCGCGGCGCCATAGTACGCACTCGCGTCAGCGCCGTAGCCAGCCTGCTGCTGCTGCATGCCGCCGTAGCCCCACTGCTGCTGCATCGCGGCCCACTGCTGCTGCTGCTGCTGCTGCATAGGGTCGCCGTAGCCGCCGCCGCGCCCCATCATCCCGTCGCCATAACCGCCGCCGCCGTAACCGCCGCCGCCGTACCCGCCGCCGCCACCGTACCCGCCGCCGCCGCCGCCGCCGCCGCCGCCGTAGCCGCCGCCATAGTCGTCGTACCCGCGGCCGCCGCCGCGGCCGCCGCGGCCCCAGCCGTCGTAGCGGCCGGGCGGGCCCCCGTCGCGCTGCTGGTAGCCGCCGCCGCCGCGGCCGCCGTAGCCGCCCGCGCGGGAGCCGTGGGGCGGGCCTGGGGCCAGGGAGTATGAGGGAGTAGTGGCACAAGGTTCAGGCGCTGTCAGGCATTGCGGCGCAGGGCAGCACGATAAGCCTCCACGGTCCGCTAGCAAGCTCGGGCGCTTCAGGGGGGCCGCACCGCGCGTCTAGCCGGACCACTCACTGGGTGGTCAACAGGAGGGCGACAACGCAGCCCGGGCTGCGCGCCCTGTCGGGCCCTGCCGCGGCAAGATCAACACAGAGCCGTCACATGCCGCAAACCCCCTGCCCCAGCCCCTGCGCTGCCGGCCCGCACGCTTCGGTCCGCCCACCTCGCTCCTCCACGGGCCGCCGCGGCCGCTCCTTGGGCATCCTCAGCGTGCAGGCCGCGCGGTCTGGGCTCTTGGCGGGGTTGACCAGCGCCACGGCCAGGGTGCCCAGGGAGGGGACGTCCTTGCCGTCCAGGGCCAGGGCCGCGGCCTCCGCCTCGTCAGCGCGCACAAACTCGACATTGGCATAGCCCATGTGCCTTGGGGAGGGGGGTTGGTGGACGAGGTGTGTGTGTGTGTGTGTGTGTGTGTGTGTGTGTGTGTGTGTGTGTGTGTGTGTGTGTGTGT